GACCATCCAAAAACAATGTCCGTAAGATTTTGAAACAAAAATTTAGGCATTGTTCTGCTGTAAAATGCAACATGGGTGAGATCACCTCTGCAATGAGCACTCAATGGGTTTCTGGAATTTTTGGTGTTCAGTTGCCTTAGTGTGACTTGGAGAAAAGTTTACCAGTCTTTCCCCACATTAGGAAAACTCCACTTTAGTGTAAGAAAAAAAGAAACCCGCCTTGTTTCTCATACCATTGCAATCAACTGTTTAGACCATCCAAATTATTTCGTTTTTATTCACCGTTGTTGGTGGATAGCTGTCAACATGTAGCTTTCTTTGTTCAGTTACTTTAGAACATGTCTTCATGAACATGAACAGTTGTGAAATGGTTTCGTTAAATCTATCTGATGAACTCCATTCCAAATGACAGGCATCTCAACACTCTTAGGACAAAAAATTAGGAAAAATGGGTAAAATTTTTGTTGAAATGGGGTTCAAAGTTTATCGAAGCAGAGTTGATCCATATGGAACGAATATACATTTTTTATAATCCTTATACTAATCTGAAATATTAAAAATAAAATGCACTCAATCAAATTTTTATTATTATAATAAAGGTTTTTTCAGCAAGTATGCTAGATGAAATACTACAAAATATGTCTTAAGTAATTAACATAGATTTTTATTTTCAATAATTTTTTTTCAGTAATACTACTTCTACAAAAATGATAAGAACAAAAATTATGCTCATTAAGCTTGATGAAATTACACATATATTTATATATATACTGTGATATTTTTTGAGGGAATATAAATTTCAAGTTACTGTCTACGCTTCTTTGGGGGGGGGGAGAAACGAGGAAAAGAGGAGAAAAAAACAAAATTGTGATCGCCGCAAGGATATCACAGGTTAACAGGTACCCCAATCAGACACGATATACCCATTAGAATCCATCATACCAAGTCATTGTCTTAAAAATTTATGTTTACCCATTTCATGAAAAAATTTAAGTTTTGAATATTCTAAATAATTTTAATTAGCAAATGCTTATACTTTTAAAACAAATTATTTCCTAAAAAACAAAGCATTTGACATAAAACCTGAAATCGAAATGGTTAAGCCTAAACGTGTGCTAGTATTGGGGATAACGTTAAGGCCTGTTTACACGGTCCAATTTCCTGAATCCGAGAAATTGGACGGATTTCTCTGTCCAAGAAATTGGATGATTCGTTGACACTATCCAAGTTCTTGAATGTCGCTGATTCGTCGAAAGAAAAACTTACGCATGCGCATTGTTCATATTCAACATTTTAAAATAATACTTACATAAGTTTAAAATTACTAAATAAATTCAAATAAAATCATAATAACACAAATAAACCTCAACAGATCAATTTATTTGGACTAAAATATATGAAAACCCACAACAAAATGACATAATTTGCTGCCAGCTTGTTGACGTCACAAAACCTAAGACGCTGATTGGTTAAGGGAGAAAAAACTTGGATGGAAAGTAGAACATGCTCTACTATCGTCCAAGAAGTTGGACCAAGTTCTTGGATGTTTGTTTACACGATCCAAGCTCAAAGCAAAACAAGTTTCCATCAATATCAATCAATCTCTGTCCAAGAAATTGGATCGTCTAAACAGGCCTTTATCTACTAGTATATCACCAAACTTTAAGCTCCTAACTCAACTCAAATTTGCTTAGCTTATAGCTCTCATTGATTTGCAAATAATCGATCTTTAACTTAGTGCTATAAGTGAGTGATAGCGTCCGAGGCGAAACTTACGTGCAGGCTGAACTAAGGCTCCTGTACTACGACAGCTGAGCCAAAGGCTGAGCTATCCGCCATGTTGGAGCAAATAAGTTCGCAGGTTACGTTATGTAAGTATTAGCGTGAGAGTTTGAAGGCTATTTGGATACCTTAAAATTATTGATATGGGTGGTTGTGCGGCGGTAAATTGTACAAACAGTTCAAAAAAAGGCTTTCGAATGTTCAGATTTTCTTCAAATTTGAAAAGAAAGAAGAAATGGATAATAAATTGCAGCAGATAAATGGCAGCGTGGAAGTGGAGCTCGCTTATATGAGGTATATACTCATTTATTTATAACTTATTAGACTTGTTTACTTATATATGTAGTATATAAACGATATTAAGTAGTTAGAATTTGTTTTTAAATTCTTGTTTTCGTCTATTTTTTTCAACAAAAAAATAATAATAATAAGTGAATAACTTTCAGGGATACTTGAATTGTACAGTTTTAACTATGTACCAAGCATAGGAATTTCATATTGAAAAATAACATTTATTAAGTATATATTTATTTAAAATATGACTTTTAAACTACATTTATTGATTATTTTTTAACAATTTTAAGTGTTTATGTGTAGTAAAGCGAATAAATAAAGGCAAGTGATTGGCTAAATAAGTATTCGCAAAACTTATTTCAGAATCGCCAAGTTTTGTATTCACTTTTAATTATTTATTTTTGTTAAAAACAAATATTTACCTGCTTTTTATTGTATTCCTTTTTATTTCGCTAAGATCAAGTAGTTACTTTCGTTATCATTTAATTTTTTTTCTTTTTAGTTATTTATCGTAATATATCGCCTAAGGTTCAAATGATTTGTTTACATTTATCATCAGAAATCTATTTAATATGTAATCTTTCATGTATTTTTGGATCTATCAATGTTTTTTTTTCTTTGAAATTCTTGTGTTAAATTTCTGAAATAATTAATTTCCACGTTGGAAAATTTCATGGGAGTATGTTTAAAAATTGCAAACTTTAAATTTTTTAAATGTGATTTTAAAGTATGGAAATAAAAAGAAAAGTATTCTAAATATTTTTGCAGGTTCATTTTGAAGAATCTCAACTAGAAATAAATGGAGTAGAAAATGAGATGATAGAAAGGGCAGCTCATAAAAATTGTTTTAGTTCACAGAAAAAAAACAAAAATTTCATAAATAAGTGTTATGGAAATGTGTTTTGAAATAAGATGTTTATTTAAATAAATTATTTAAAAATTTATCATGCGTCGTTTCTTCCCCTCCCCATAAAACTCTAGTTTCTATTTGTCCCATTAATTTTATTTAGATAATAAGAATGGCTAAAACTCTTAACTCGTCTTGTCCTTTTATGTTTTAAAGAAAATTCAATGTCTCAATTAAAAAAACTAATTTCTAATTGATTTTTGATCTTGAAACAAAATTTATTACTTCTCATGATTGTAGACATTTACATTTAGAATATTGCATTATAAAGTTAATTATTTTGATTATAAAAACACTTAAAAATATTAAAGGTCAAAAGATGTTTTTTCTATTTTAATTTGGTTAAAAAAAATCTGAAAAGAAATTGAAAAAACCCAGATCTAACAGAAATATAAAATTTAGTGCCAAATTTACTTTGAAATTATTTGTTAATTTTTTTTTTGTAATTGGCATGTATCACATGCACAGTTGTTTACTTAAAACTTTTAACCGGTCATAAAATTTGCGGCGAACTTGTATAAGCATAAAGACAATATTAATCTATGCACGCTTTTCCTTACTGATTATCCTATAGTTGAGGTTAACGTCGTTTGTTCGTGATAAGTTGCCAAATCTCTTCATTATTGGAAGAAAAGCCTTTGCTCCGAAATGGATGATAAGTCAGCCTCTCTAATTCAGGGTCTCTAGGTGGAACTATCATAACAGTAAAAAATAAATTATTTTTGATAAAGTTGAAATTTTTTTTGAGAGAAATGAGTAAAATACGGTTCTTTTCGATGACGGGAGGACTTTTGCAAAAAATGTGGACCATTTGGAAGGCTTGAAACTATTTATTTGCAGAACAAGTCTCTAAAAAGGAATGTCATTAGAATGAGCCGTGATGGTTCAGGAGCGTTTGCCTTCCAATGAGGCGAATCGGGATCGAATCTCAATCGATACAAATTCCGCATCCGGCTTGCACCGACCACAGTGCTGACGTTAAATATCCTCAGTGGTAGACGGATCATGGATTAGAGTCCCCTTTCCGTCTGGTTAACAGTGGGAGGTTCTCGTGGTCTTCCTCTCCATGTAGCGCAAATGCGGGTTAGTTCCATTAGAAAAACCTCCACGAAGGCAAATTTCTCCCCGATACTTGATCCAGGAGTTCCATTGTCTTCTGGATTGGGTTCAAAATGACCAGGCTACGGAGTTGAACCTGAGTAGTCGCAAACCCATAAAATTGGGTCTGCTGTTCAATGACGGTTACAAAATAAAATAAAATGGATTAAATCTAATAAAAACTGCTGTTTCTCCAAAATTCAGTAACATTGCACAAAAAGAAAAAAAAAAGTCTTATACAAAAACAAGCTTAAAATTTAGAATTTCTTCGACTGTAAGAATGTTGATCTTTTTTTTAAATATTACGATGTAAGGGCGCATTTTTCTAGTATCCTCCTTATTTTTTAAGTCACCCATGAAGCAAAGTAAGGTATTCAATTTTTTTCTAGATAAATTTTAAGGTATGACCTCAAATTTTATTTACTAATATTAATTTTTAAATTTAAATATTAACCTTTTAACTTCTCGTCACTAAAAAAAAAATTTAGGCATGCTGTTTGTTTTTAATAACTAAGACGGATTATAGTTCTTTTTTATTCAAAACAGGGTCTGGAATTCTCAATGCTTAAGAATTTTTTTTTTTTAAAGTGTAGGGCTGCATGTCTTGGGTGCGTAGCCCCTGCTTGAACACGAGAAGAATTGTAAGAATAATAATTTTAGAAGTAATGAACATTTGATGAATCTGTTTGTGGAGAGTCCCGTCAAAAACAGTGGCTTCTCTGCACAAATAACGTTTTACACTCTTCATCTCAGGTCACGACATCCGAACTGTTCACGAGATAGAAGTGACTGACTGACAGACGGTTAGAAGATTCCGCGAATTTGGCGTCTTGGCGATCGGAAACAATCCACAAAATTAAGATTTTCTCCATCTTTATCCGCGCAACCACGGCAACCTCATCCTCTATCCCTGATTGGATGAGAGAAGCCGGGACGTCTGGCGATTCGCCGGCAAAGTTGGTGGCTGAAGCATTCGATGCTCGGAATCTCTGAAGTGTAGGGGGAGAAACGGAGGAAAACGAATCGAACATCGACGTTCGCGCCGTTTTTGTGTTTTGTGATCATCATCATACCCTCTCAGTCCAATTGTTTTTCATTATTTCTTCTCTGTCGGGATTGTACGCTGTAAAAAAAATGATGCCAAGAAGATGGGTACCTAAAAAGACGAGATGAAGTTTTAGTGTCTATAAGTGTTTATCCGAGACAGTGTGTTTGTTTTGTGTTTTTTTTTCCTTCACTCACATCGTACAGGGCATTAATTTTATGTTTATAAAGTGTTGTGTGTGAGGACCATGCCGCACGGGGGCGAACCCAGAGCCGGAGAGGACCTGTTCCCATCGGATGAAATAAAAGTGTTTAAAGAAGAAGGAGATGAGGATGAGCATCAGTCCTCCGAAAATTTGACAGAAGTGAAAACTAGTCTTGTGACTGAAGGGGAAGAGGTAAGGGGTCTATTTTTAAACTCTTACTTGTCTCCGGCAGTTGTGAAATTTCTAGTAAATAAACAGTCCCCCTCCCACCTCAAGGTTGGCGACACCAGCTATCCAAACAAACATGCCAAGGATAGTCCTACTTCAATGCAGGGTTTATCCTTAGCACCTCGTAAAGAAGACTGTAATTGCTCTCTGAATAAACAAAAAGCATTTTTCAAACGACATAAATTGCGCAGCTGTGCTAATATACTTCAAATGAACCCTTATGTCAACAACCACTTTTTCTTTATTTAATTAGATGGAGGACACTCCATATTATTACATTGTTAGAAATTTTGAACCCTTCAAATTTACTAATACCTTAACGAGGTGGTAAGCTGAACCCTATTTTCCCCCTTTTCATAGTAAAGCTGTGGTAGTATGGTTCAATCTGAACGAAAACGGGTTCGACTTGACACTTAAGTAAGGTTCCAGTAGTATGTTTAAATGTGCAAAACCGTTAAAGGTGGTCTTAAGACGTACCCGATTTTCTGAGAGTCCATTAATATTGTCTTATCAATAGCTACATTTTTAAATGTTAACTCCCGGAATTTAAAAAGGATATCTTTTGGTAGAACAATCAAAGCAATGTGCCTAGCCGGTTGTTTTCCTAAGGGTTAAATACCATCGTTGCTTTATTTATTTATTTTCGAACTTGTTTGAATTAAATGTTACGAATTTATAGCTCTTTCTTTATATACTCTTCTTAATTGACTTCATTAAGTCATAAGTGATCGGTATTAATTTATATATATGTTGGTTTTATATTTCCATTTTATATTCATATCTTAATTTATCGTCAATTGTGTCTTATTCGTATGAATTCCATTAAAGTGTTAGCCTGCCATGTGATGAATGGAACGGGAATTCGATTTAAGAATTCAAAGTGGTGTGAATATTAATTTAAGCTAGAAAAAATCATTCTCTGATGTATTTAAGACTATTTAATTGTGTTGCTTTGCTTAACATCCAATAAATAATAATGTAAGCCGTTTAGGTACACTGATAGAAATTTTGAAGCGTTGATATAATATTGTAGTTTAAACCTGTTGCAATCTTAATAGGGTGATTGATACCCTATTAATATTGCATCCATTTTTTTTTATGCGTTATTTCTTGTGATTTAAGGAGTTATTATTAACACTACTTGTTTAGATTTGAATTCTTATGACTTACTTGTATTTTATAGTTCAATATTATTATCATTATTATTATTACTAATTTCTAAACCTGGAATAATTTGTATGAAAATTACGTCAAAAATGCATGAGTGTTGTCCTTTTTTTCCTACAAAAGGTTTAGATCATTTGTGTTAAAACAAGAAATTTCGATGGTTAATTTTTTTCCTAAGTCTATAAATAAAAAGATTAAAAACTACTTAATCAATGGTGGTGGCCAGAAATAAGTTGATAAAATCTTTATAACAGTTCTTGCTTTTCTTCTCAAAACCTTTGCAAACTCTATTTTTTTGTGATAAAGTCAATTTATACTTTCATTAATTTATTTTATACGCAAAATATGACTTGTAAAGCATGACTAATTATGCAGAAAGAAATACCAGAACTTTTCTCCCCACATCCTTAGAATCTGTCAATAACTAATATATTTCACTTTTATACATTTTCGTCTGACAATGTTGCTTAATTTGTTAACAAATAAACGTGCTAAGAAGAAAATTATATAGTAAGAGAGTTACGCAAAAATAGTTCATTAAAAATGTAAACAATATCATTATAATTGAATTTGTTTATTTTTTAATATAATAATGAACAAATTTTGATTAATATAAAATTCATATATTTTTCTGATGAATTTGGTATTAAAATGTAAATTATTCAAGTTCTTAAAATACAAAGCAAACCATTCAATATATTTAAATCAGAACCTCCACTCTCAGAAAAATCGGTCCTACGTTGAACCATAATATCGGTATACCTAATAGGGTGCATATTTGAAGTTTTGTAGAGCGTTATCAGAGGAAAGTATTGTTAAAGCAGCTCCAAAATATTAACCGTGTTCTTAAAAAAATTATAAATTAGGATCATGGATTAGAGT